GCTCTTCAGGGCAGAGTGCCCAGTTACTACCTGGTCATTCCAGGAAGTGGGAAAGCCAAACCCTACCTCGTGCTTCACAGGTTTAAGACTGTCTCTCAATTAAGCTGAAGGCCCTGGCTGTTTGGGGCTGCGCTCAGCTCAGTAGCAGGGCTGTAGCTGCAAGGGAGGATGATGAATAAGCTGGAGAACTTAGCTGGCAGGAAGCTCATGCAATTCAGCAAGGGCAAACGTAGAGTCCTGCATCTAGGTTGGAAGAGCCCCACAGCAGACAAGAGCCTGGGCACCGGGTGGACACAGAAAGCAGCTTCACGGGGAAGGACTTGGAGTCCTGGTGGGCATGCAAGTTGAACAGGAGTCGGCAGTGTGCCTTGGCAGCAAAGGCTAGCCGCATCCCAGGCTGTGTTAGCAAGACCACAGACAGCACAGTGCGGTCAGGGATTCCTTCCCTCTGTTCAGCACTTGTGAGACCACATCTGGGCACTGGGTCCAGTTTGGGGCTTCCCAGTACAAGAAAGACATGGACATCCTGGAGCAAGGCCAGCTCCAGGCTGGACTGCACAATATGCAAGCAGAAGCAGAGGGAATTGAGTTTGTTCAACATGGAAAAGAGAAAGTCACAGGGAGAACTAATCACTGTCTTTAACTATGTAAAGGGGCACTAAAGAAAAGACAGAGCCAGCCTCCTGGAGGTGCACAGCAATGAGATGAGAGGCAACAGGCACAGGCTGCAGCGAGGGAAACTCCGATTAGATAATAGGGGAAAAAAAAACACAATGAGGGTGTTACAACACTGGACTAGAGACCCAGAGAGGCTGTGGTATCCCCATCCTTGGAGATATTCAACCTTGACATAGCTGTGAGTGCACCTTGATCTAACTTTAAAACCCACATGCTTTGAGCAAGAGGTTGTACCAGAGACCTCCTGAGGTCCCATTCAACCTAAATTTCTCTGATTCCCTTTTCACAATTATGGCGCAGTGCAGACCCATGAAAGGAGATTTTCATAACCAGCCATGAACATGCCATTGGACTGTCATCAGCTGCTCTCAGGATGTCACAGACTCCTGTGCAAAACAAGTAACCACAAGGACTAAATGGCCAAATCTTCCCAGATTTTCCCAGCCATTGCAATCTGATTGCCACAGGACATGGTGCTCAAAATCAGAAATTCTCAAGTGGAGTTTCAATAGAGAAAGAAGTCTTGTCACATCATGGCATAGAGAGAAAGTCTCTCTCCAGTACTGCTCCTAAGCTGAACAAAACTCACTGCAGAAGAGATGAAGATGAAGGACTTGGGACCACATCTGAGTCAACACCTCTGAAATTTCTTCTTGATATGCAGCTATGGTAAGTCCAACAAGTCCCATATTATGATTTCTGCCATAAGGAAAAAAAACACAGCCCCTTTGGGCCTTTGGGGTGTGCTCCGTGCTCTTTCTGGGGATGTGTATCATGAAATACCATTGCCACTTGTAACCAGTACAGCTCCCTGCACCTCTGACTCTGAGACCTAGTAAGACAGATTCTGGTAGCAGAATATGGCTGAAGACAGAGACTTTTTGTATTTTCTATTTCACTGCAAAAAAAAAAAAAAAAAAAGGAACAATCCCACTTACTACAGGTGTTATCACCACGGAACTTGTACTGGTCACCTGGTAATTGCTGCCGAAGAACAGAGGGTTGAATGGAGGAGGCTTGGGAATAAGCTTTGAATTCCAGTTCATTTCTTGTTTTTCAACGGCCTGTAAACATCAAGCATTGCTTTTGAGAAAGGAAAAAAAAAAGAGCTGTGAACTGGAGGTAGCCCTCAGAAAGTCAAGAAGAGACCAACCCAGTCAGAACAGACTGCTGAATGTGTATTACAGGCAGTGCTGTGCTTCAGGGGCCAGGCAGCTCCCGCTCGGCGCAGGCAGGAACCTACCGTGTGCAGGCAGGAACATGGGCAGGGTAATGCACTGTCATGCTGTGAAAGAGGGTAAGGGCTTGCACACAATAGGAGAATGGCTGGTATGCAGCCACTTATTGCTGTGCCTGGCAGCGGCCAGCAAGTCCTACATCTGCTCCGTGTTGCAGACCATCCTGTGCAATTGCTTCAGTCGTGCTAGGACACACTGTCTGAGCCGAAAACACGGACAGCGATTCCTGGAGACATCTGTGAAAGAGGAGAGTGGGGGAGGCAGGAGCAAGGATGTGGTCCTGTGGTGGGAGATGGGGGCACAGGACCGTGTGTGAATCAGAGGCTGGTGGCAGAAAAACTGGGAGGCATCTCTGCTTATCAAATCCAGTCCCTGCTACTGCAGCCACCCAAGATGTCATCCTTTTTTAACCTGGTCAAGCTCCCTCCGTCTTACCTGCTTCACAGAGTTGTCATCTGGGATCAAGTAGAGGTGAAGAGTTGTATTTGCAGCACTGAGCTGCTGGAAGATCAGCACCAAGGAGTGCATAGGGAATGAATTTAAGGTTGAACGTAACTTCCTCCAAAGCACCCCAAGCAGTGAGAAGCTGGGCTTCTCCAGAACAGCAGAGAAAGTCATCAGCCTGGTTGGTCTCTCCAGGGTCATCTTCCCAGATTTAAAATGGGCAATGGCGCACAGGCTGGTATTTACATGTCCTGCAAAAGACAGCAAAGGCAACAAGGTTCTGATTAGTTGTCCTGGCACCCTCTTAGGCTGCCTCTTTCTCTTTAAGGCTTTAGCAACAGAAAGCAGACATGCACCCACACATAATAACATGCTCTGCTTTAGGTCCCATGTGTACCCTGGGCTTTTGGGGTTTGTCAGGGAGTTGCAGGCCTTTGGCAGTCTTCCTGTGGGCTCAGAAAACTGCAAATCTGAAGGTGGCACCTGGGGACCGTGAAAATTGTCAGACTGTACCCATGCAGCATCCTGAGTACAAGTGCCACACCACCACGTACTGGGGAAGCAGATGGTTGCTGTGTGACAAGTCACTCTAGTTTTTGATAACCAGAGCAGCCTGAACATGCCAAGGTGACATCCCTAGGGATGACTGGGTCAGAGAGCTCTGCTGATGCCCAGTCACCTGGATTATCTCTGGAGGACACTTCGCTATTAACTTGACAGATTAATACAGTTACAACGTTTTGCTTAGCACAGCCATGTCAGTGAAGAGTGCGTAGAACCACTTGTCGGCTGACGTGGCTGTGCTTGCCAGGCCCTGGGCAGGAGATGGAGCCACACAACAAGAAACTTCTTTTGCAGAGTGCTCTGTTTCGGAAGAGGACACAGATTTGCCAGGAAGAGTCCCTCAGCCAGCACACCTGGTGCCTGTGTCAGGGCCTCCCAGCACAGGGGACTGGGACTCCTCTGCATGCTCCGCAGCCCAGCTGCGGGTGCTGACACTCCTTCTCCGCTCATTAACAGTGGCTCGTTAAGATCACTGCAGGGCAGAGGACCCAGAGCCAAGCCTCACGTTGCCTGGGTGAAAACGGACAATTTCGCTCCACTTTTTCTTCTGCCCGGACCAGCTCTGACCTATTGCATCCCACCCCAGGGTGGCCCAGCCTGTGGGTGGTGAGCGCAGCCGGCCAGCTCATGTCCCGGTGGAGCAGAGCAGGGACGGCCATTGACATCCACAGCTGCTATAGATGCAAAGAGCTGAGAAACTCTCCAGGGAGCCCAGGGGTTGATCTGCAGCTGGGCTGGGGTAATGCCTGGGGGTCATCTTGGCAGCTGGGAGGAGAAGGTGGGCGAGGAGGGGCTGGTGGTGTGGAGCGGGAGCTGGGGAAGGGACCACTGTGAAGGTTTGACAGGAAGTGGGAGAAGGATGAAGGATGCCAAAGCAAAGCAGAGGAATACAAGGGAGTACAGGGGATCTTGGAGGGGAGGGAGAGTTTGGCCCTGTCTGGAGTGAGGTCTCCAAGGAGCCAGAGACATCCCTGGGGATGGTGGCTTGGGAGACCCACGTCCCTGCAGCTGCTGTACCTGCCAGGCAGATGAAGTGGGGGAGATGCACCGCCTGCACGACCTCAGGTTGCACCTCGATGTGGAAGAGGGGTCCAGCGGGCACCCACATGTCCTGGTCAGCCTTGCTCAGGTGCCTGGTCCAGGTGGCATATCTGTAGGTGATGGTCACTGCCGACTTCACCTCGAAGCTGAGGCGTGTGATGGAGCACCGGAAGACGCCTGCGCTGTGGAGGTGAGCTCTGCAGGTGGGAGGGACAACAGGCTCATGCCACCTGGGACAGGGCTTTTGGAAGGTGCTCCTGCTTTGCCTGACAGCTCTTACCGGTACGTGATGCAGTTCTTCAAAAAGTCTTTGATTATCTTTGGCGTCACTTCTGGAAGATCCTGCAACACAAGTGCATCCACTTTGGGACTGAATGGGGTGTTGCGCACTGGGTGCTGCTTGCAGGAAGCGTGCTGGGATTTACAGTGAAGCATGATGCAGCTTGGCATGGGAGCTCGGAGCAGGGGACCAGCAGCTGCTGTCTGGTGCCCAGAAAGGCATCATTCTCCTCAGTGAAGAGTCCAGAAAAATCATTGACTGGCAACTCTTCTGCCCTGGGATCCGAAACAAGCACTGGCCATGTCTGAGGCTCATGACCTCTTTAATGTGGATCCCTGTAGTGGTGCCCAAGAGAAATCCTGCGCACAGGCACAGCAAGGAGGACTGAATACTTAGCCCTGCTTGGGTAGATGCCACTGGGGTGGGGAAAGAATCAGTTAGTCCATGCATCCCCCATGCATCAGTAGGAAACATAAAGGGTGGACGCACGGAGCAGCTCCCGGAGCTCCAAACTACATTTCATCCACTGATTTTTAGGATGTATTTTGCAAATGGGAATTCCAGACAGGAAGAGAGAGAAAATGTTGTTAGCTGCTGACTTTCTTGTGAGTAATGCCTGGGCTGTTCCCTTTCTGCCATGGTGTATCAGCAGAGAGGACAGTGGCTACAGGCAGACGAAATGTTTAGCAGCAAGAATAAATTTGGGATGCTAGCAGGTAGAATATGTCTTCCCATGAACTTGAAAACTGGGGCAGCATATGCTGAGTTAGCATAGCAAAAAGCACTGGACTCTTCTGGAGCATGAAGAATTGCTGCAAATAACAGGTTTTGAAGGCACACCCCACCTCCCAGGTGACAGCCAGGGCCAGTCCCAGGCTCCCTGCTGTGCCATTTCCTTTGGGTGCAACAGTGCCCTGCCAGGACGGGCAAAGCCCTTACCTCCCACATGCAGAGCAAGCAGTTTCCCCGCAGTGGTGAGCCCAGGTTCAGCCAGCAGAAGGTCTCCTGCAGAGGGAAACATAGGAGAAAGCACTCGCAAGCTGGCTTTCTCCCCTGCAGTCGTGCTTGCCTGCTGGACGCAGGAAAAGAGGTCTTCTGAGAGTATGAGCAACACCCCCAGTGTCAGGCATAGTGGTGTCCCTGTTCCCTGCTCCTGCAGGGCGGAAACAGGCTGGCACAGGAGCTGTGCCTGCCTGGCCTGCTGGCAGGGTGAGGTCCCTCTGCTGGGACCAAGCGCAGCACCCACCAACTTGGGCCACCTGGCGCGGTGCTGCAGTGGTGATGGGCAATGCCAGATCCCACATCCGCAGGGCTGGCTGTGAGCCTGTGCACTGCAGCCGTGCCTTCGTCCCCAGCCCTGTGGTGCTCCTCACTCAGGCACCCCAGCCTCAGTCATTGTGTCCTGCAAGACCTCACCTCTGTGTTTGTCGAGGCCTCGTCTGTCAGAGACTTGTGAGGACTTAGCCCCTGCATCTTTATGGGTAAGACTGGAACAACAGGAAGACATTGTCATTTTTGCTTCATGTTTGAGAGAAGAAGCCATCTTCAAGAAGCTGTCACCCAACCTTCCCGATCCCCTTAGCCGCACTGGTCCTCTCATGTACCACTGCATCCTCCCACATCTGCTGCAACTTCCACACCCTCCTCCATGAACCATGGCAGGGACATCCTCACCACCATACAGTGAGTTGAGGTCCTACGCTCACCACTGTGCAGCTCCACGAGCCCTGCTGCACCAGTTTGTCAGTGAGGAGCAGGGAATGACCTTACCTGAAAATTCAGGATTGACAGCTTCATCATCAACTCGCACTGCAACAGCAACACAAAGTAGAGGAGCGCTCAGGAGCCAGGTCATGTCCAGAGGAGTATCCATCCTCTGCCCATCCTCTCCCTCTTCTTCACGCCATTGCTATGAAACCTCTCCCTGCCAGTTTGTGCCCACTCACACCAAGCTGCTGGGCACCAGGAATCCCACCCAGCTGCCCATTCCAGGAGGGCAGTACACTGCAGGGCTGAGAACATGCTCCCAACCTCCGCCTCTCCCTCCCTCCCCGCTGCCATGCAGGGAGCAGATTTCTTGCTCAGCTTCCAGGAACAAAGTCCCTCCTCTCCCTCCTACCTTCTTCCTCTATAGGTGCCTCCCTGAGCCCTTGCCTTCTTCCCACCTTCCAGTGCAAGTCTGCTCTGGCAGCTCCCTGGTGCACATACAGCCGCAGCTGCCTTGCCCCTTCCCTCTTGCCTGTGGTCCAGGGTCCCTCCTTGGGACACAGCCCAAGCTGCGCCCACTCCCTCTTTCTCACCTCCAGACGGATCCTCACCAACCTCCCCTGGGCCACCCTGCACTTCTATGTAAGTGTATGGTACAAAAAGCAGCTGGGTGTGATTTCATAGTGTCAGGGGGTCAGGTTGTCCTCCATCTGTCTGCTATCATAGAGCAGCACCCCCATTTGGTCTCCATCCCTGGAGGTATTTAAAGAACAAATAGATACGGTGCTTGAAGACATGGTATAGATGAATTTGGCAGTGATAGGTTGACGGTTGGACTCGATGATCTTAAGGGTCTTTTCCAACCTTGACGATTCTATTATTCTATGATTTCGGGGGTCAGGGAGGAATCCTGTGCGTTCAGCTTGGCCTTAAGCTCCTGCACACTGTCATCCAGGGGCACTGGCACTGCAAATGTTTTGCCCCACAAAATCTTAATGAAGATGCAGAACTCACCATGGCTGTCGGCCTCGGGCTCCCGCTTCGCCATGTTGACTCTTCTGGCTATCCCAGAAGACCTGAGGCTCCGACTACGTCACTTCCCAAGAAACCGAAAGCACCAGATGACGTCAGGACTGACATGCTGTCAAACCGCCTTCATGCCTTGGCTGAGCGCTCCTCCTCCCGCCCATGACCCCTGCCCACACCCAGCTTTCTTCCCTGCCTGCACTGGGCTTTTTCTCCTGCCTGCACTGGGCTTTCTCCCCTGCGCTGCTCCTTTCGCTCAACCTCTCTCCCTTGTTACTTTCCCTTTCCCCTTTTCCCCCACCCGGCTCCTCTTCGGGGATTTCCTTCCCCAGGGAAGGCAGGGGAAGGCAGGGGAAGGCAGGGCAGGGCTGGGCAGGCAAGGACAGAGCTTTTTCCCAAGGGAATGGTGCAGCAGAGGCTTGGATCCAGCCTGGAAAGCAGGTCTGGGGGTGCCAGAGGGTCCCCCACTGTGTTATGGGGTCACCCCAGTGCCTGCCCTTCACCCTCTCCCCGGCACATCCCTGCCCTCCCTTTCCTGCCAGCTCTGCCTACCCCTGGCTGCATGGGGGACCAGCCCATCCCCGTCCCTGCTGCAGTGGCCTGTGTGGGGGGGTTAATTTGGGGGTGGTGGGAGGTGCAGGGCTGTGGATTATTGTCTCCCTGACCCCTGCAGAGCTAACAGGGAGCTGAGGGTAGGCAGCAAGGTGGGCAGCTGCCTGGCACCACTGGCATAGCCCTGTGAGCCCCGCAGTGAGGCACCACTGTCCCACTCAGGGCAAACCCGCAGTCCCAGCCCCACAGCACCCACTGCCCTCACCAGCAGCCCCGGGATGCCTGAGCACCCTGCCATGCACCCCAGGGTGCTCAGGGCAGGCTCAGGAGCCGGGCAGGAGGGGCAGGACCTGCCAGCAACATTCAGGGCTCCCTCTGCCCTGGCAGAGGGGGAACGAGGACATTTCAGTGACCGACCCTGTGGTCCAGGCGGTGCCCAGTGTGGGAGTGGTGTCAGGGTGATGGAGTCAGTGCCCAGAGCCCAAGGCTGCACTCCAAGAGATGGCGATGACAGGGGCACGCACCGCCCAACAGCTCTGCGGTATTTATGGGGAAGGGAGGACCCACAGCCATCCCTCAGGGCTGGGGCTGCCCACACGCCCTGCCGTCACGGGTCCTTGCCCTAGTCCAGTCACCCCACTGCAGGCAGAGCTGCATTTCCCGCTGTTCCCGGGGCAGCGCAGCCCCACAGTGCTGCTGGTGTCTCGCCGTCCCTCCACTGGAGTGATGTGCTCGGCCCCACAAGGTGCAGTGAAACAGCCCCAAGTCTTGTATGCTTGTAGTGTCAGCCGAGCCTGATCACCTGTGGCCCGCCGACAGAGCTTACTGTTGGGATAATTCCCTGCAAAGTGATTTATCGCCTCCTTCCAAGGCCCAATCCTTGCTGTATGCTTGGCAGCTGTGTAGGAGTGGTTTTCTACACCAGAGGTCAAAAATCCTGTGTGCTGGGTATGGAAACGGAGGTGGCCGTCGGCTGCCACGGGTCCTCACTGCTAGCGGTACTGCAGCCCATGGGATGAGCTCTGCACCGTGCCCCAGCTAGGCACAGCACCACATGCAAGGATGCTCCTGCTCTGCTGCCCGCAGACATACCCAGTGGACCTGGTGTCATTTCTCCTGCCTTAAAACTGAGGCAGCTCCACAAGGATCCACAGTCCCACTCGCAAGGCCGTGGGGGCAAGTGGCTCCCTGGAGCTCCTGCATCTGCAGTCTCCACCCGGGGGTAGTTTTTTTAACAGCGGTGAAAACTGCAGCTGAACAGCCCGGTTGAGCCTCTCATCTCATTGGGAACAGGGAGCAAAGAACTAAAGCTGTGCATCAGAGGGCAGTGAACCACCTGGACAACCGCAGGGAGTCGTATAATCAGGGTGTAAGATGGCAGCGACCCAAGACAATCTGTATCCAGGGGAGAGAAAACCTTCCTCTGTATCCAGGGTGGTCTCAAAAGTCATAGAGGGAAAATAAAGGACATATTTGGGGCATGCAATAAGAAAAGGCACACAGAGATGCTGCCACTCTGCCAAACAGGGTATGATGGAGAAGGAAAATAGTTTACAGGAGAGAACAGAAATGTTGCCAGGGAAGTTTTTGAAGAAGAGAGAGATGTCCCTGTCTCCAAGGGGAGAGCGCAAAAATGTGAATCCAGAAGGAAAATGTAAAACAAGCGACCTGGGAAAGGTCGGGACAGCTTATTTCCAAGAGGGCAGGAATAACCCTGGTTGCAGGCGGCCATGCCCACCCCTGCTCAACCGAGCGGGAGCAAAACCGCCTCTTTGCGTGCCCGGGGCCAGCGTGGCCACCCACGCCCCGTGTGCCCTGGGAGTGGGAAGGGCCGGCGGGGACCCCCGCGCTCCGCTCCCCGCCGCCGGTG